TTAGTAACTGAGAAAAACAAGCAATTACTCTAACAAAGCCTTCAACCAAATTATGAATATGCAAATAACTATTGTGTCTTCAATGTCTGTTTTACCCTAAATTAAAATGCATAGGAAACAGAATCTTTAAAAAGTTAGTTGCAGCCGGGCGCAGTGGCTCACGCCTGTAATCCCAGCACTTTGGGAGGCCAAGGCAGGTGGATCACCTGAGGTCGGGAGTTTGAGACCAGCCTGATAAACATGGAGAAACCCTGTCTCTACTAAAAGTACAAAATTAGCTGGGCGTGGTGGCGCACGCCTGTATTCCCCAGTTACTCAGGAGGCTGAGGCAGGAGAATCACTTGAACCCAGGAGGCAGAGGTTGCGGTGAGCCGAGATCGCGCCATTGCACTCCAGCGTGGGCAACAAGGGTGAAACTCCATCTCAAAAAAAAAAAAAAAAGTTAGTTGCAAGCATTGGCAGCATCTGTAAGTACCTTCATTCTGGAAGGTTCAACATCAGTGTTTCCTACTCTGCTCTTCTTTCAAGCTTCCCTTGCTCTTTTCTCATAACAGCAAACATAATCATAATCATCGCCGTTTACCAGGAATTGTTCCAAGTGCTTCACAGGCACTAACTCACGTATAGCCCTGAACAACTCTATGAAGCAGGTAATATTTCTTATGTCTACTTACAAATGACAAAACTGAGGCACAGCAAGGTTAAGTGAGTTGCCCGAGTCTGCCGAAAAAGACACTGCTAAGATGAACAGAGCAGCCTGGCTCCAAGTCTGTAACTGTAATAGTACTGTACACCTAGATTCAAAACTGCTTGTAAACCACTAGAGGGCATGGGTTGTGCCCACCCTTCTCAGAGCTCCATCCCTAGTACCGGGCAGAGTCTTCAAACTCATGGCTGAATTTTTCACAGGTATGCCTTCCCCTCTACACTGTGCTTGTTGGGGGCTAGGGAAGAAACTGACACCGCATTTCATCCTTCAGGAGTGAGAAGTTTTTGCTCCAGACAGTCATAAATACTTGCTGAATGAATGAATCTTTTATTTACGAAGTCGAACATAAATCTAAAAAGCCCTCCTCGAGGTAACATAATCAGGACCACTTCTCCAATCCTAACCAGGCAAGAGATCTGAAATCAATAGCTGCCTTAAACAATATCTCAAACTTACTATTAGGCAGGGAAGTGGCTTACGGTAAACATTAAATAAAATGTTAAAGCCGCCCTTCACTACATGAGTACTGCTCCCTTTAAGAGAGCTGTTTTGAGCCACCCCACTAAAAACACAGACTTAACCAAAGTCTGGACGTGGTTCATTTACTTTAAAGATAAATCACTCGTTTCAGATAATCCATCTAAATAGTAAATTCCCTTTACTTTACTCAAAACAACCAGGAATCTAAAAATTCAGTTTACTCTGAGTAAGGCAAGCACATTAGACAATGTTAAGGAGTAACTACAGAGTATTTAAAAGAGTAATTTCAAACTGCAACCATCTCTGAAATTACTTACACAGGTATTAGCCAGTCAATCTCAGCATCCAGTAGGCTTTCCACTAAACAGACCACAATTCTACTATGCTTAGCATCTCAACTCAGAACAATTTCTTGGTCCCTTATGCATCCCATGATCTACGCTTATACATTTTGCACACTCTTCATTTTTAAAATGCATCTCAAAACCTATTGATTTTTCTGATGGGTCACTATTTTGGAAGAGTAGCATGAATAGAAACTATTTTAAGTTAACTGCAATTTGTCACTTCTTTCAATACAAACCTGCTTAACTCTGTCTTTTCTATCGTGACCCAAATTATCTTCTAAGACTTAGAAAAGAACATATAAGACGAAAAATTCCTTTCTAAATATCAATTCCGTCGCCATCAGGAAACGTCAAAAACTTTGTCTTTTTAAAAATAAAAACGTCAACTCTCTAAAAACTTCAGTACCTCAAAGGAAGGCTGCACTGTTAACACTGAAGGAGGGCTGGGTGATTTCTGAGTATCTGCATTAAAGAAATATGCTCTTCAAACCTAGTAATTGCTGACGAGGCCACACCTTCTAACCTTCCCGTAATCCACGAATCACATCGGGAGCAATCTAGAAACTGCTCCCAGCCCAAGTAAAATGACAGGTATGTCATCCTCAAACGACCCAAAACCGGGTCGGGGAGCCCAGACGGCTACCGGGGCCCAGGCTGCCTCCCCCCCCCCGCCCGGCGCTCCTGGAAGAGCCACTCTAAGGAAACACACCTCCCGCGCGAGCCTCTTCCTTCCTAGAGGAACGGGGGAAGGGGACACCCGGGGCCGAAACACACCCAAACCCCACTTCAAATCCTGCCCCACCGGCTTCTCCTTCCAAAACAGCCGCGCCACTGCCGAGCCCGCGGGCGATTCGGGGGCGCCGGGAGAGGAGAGCGAAGGGCGGAAAGCGAACTTGGGCGTTACTCCGGGCGTCTCCCTCCCCCAGCGGAACCTGGGCGCGCCGTTTCCTCACGGACGCGAGATTTTCCCCCAAAATCGCCACCCCAGCCCGCCCGGGGCCGCCCTCGCCCACCGTCCCCTC